ACAACATCTTTGATCTATTAATTTTTGTTGACTTATCTTAATTTCATCACTAAAAAAAGAAGTGCTAGCATGTTATTAGCTTCATTATTAATCAAAAGTTTCCGATGGGGCTTTTTATAAGAAAAATAAAATAACTTAAATTAATGAAGTTTAAATCTAAAGTATTAGGAGTTTAAGTAGTTTCAAATCAAGTTTTTATTTGTTCACATATTGCACTGATTAAGTTTGAGCTGAAAAAATGCCACATAAATAAATAACCAAGTTCTCAAGTTTATCTTATTCAATTAAGTTCAATCAATCAAATAAACACTAAATAACTCCCCTCAAATACGATGTAAATCACATTAAAATCAATAAGAATCATAAAACATCGAATCATCACCCCATGGTACATATGGATGAGAATTAACTTGAAATTGAAGGATCAAGGTCCTACATATTTCATTTAGAAGTTCAGGAACCAAAGGCAACAAAAAAATATATATATATTTGGGGACTGAATGGAACAAAAATGGTCAAATCGAACATCATAATTGGCACGGGTTGCTCGTGTGGAAGAGCGTGTGGAAACGTACTCGTTTCTGTGGGCCCTATATAGTTGTCGGAATGGCATCGCTCCGGTGGCGTTGGAATGCTTCTGGTTGGACGAACCTCCTAGGATACTGCGTGTGGACAGGAAAGGTCTAAGGACGCGACAACAACGTTGTTTCGTCCCTCCTCTGTCCTTGTTTTGTCAATCTGTTGTTGCTTTCCTTTTTTTTTTTTTTTTTTTTTTACACTAGCTTATCCTCCTCTGTTCTTGTACATCCATGTGTGAGGGTAAGGTGTAGACTTTAATGGATGGACCTAGGTTTTTTTTTTTTTTTAGGATTGGAACATGCCTGGACAGCTAGACCTGGGCAGGTTCCATCACTACATTGATTCCCTTCGCACAAGACATGAGAAACATGACAATCCCGAGTACTATTTTTCAGACCTTTAGGTCCTGTATTTTTTTATTTTCTCTCAATTTTTGGATGCTTATTAAAGTGAGCACCTTTGTAGAAATCTAAAAGCATACTTGGACAGAGGACCTCCCATGCAAAGAAGAAATATCTTTTTTTTTTTTTTAAGTTCATCAATAAAAATATTGTTTAATCAATTTTTACGTATTTTAAGATTAATTTTTTTTAGATATAATTAAAAGACAATCCTTAATATGTGATATTATATATTTTAAAAATAAATTATTATGAGTATTAATTATAAAAATCGAATTATGAACCTAATTCACAAGTTAATAACGGTGTGGTTAAAAAAAATCCTTTAGGCCTCTTCAAATTTTAGATAATTATGTATCTTGAAGTTAATTTGTTTTAACAATCACCAACTTTTTGCATTCCCCTCGAACTACTATCAAAAGAGTCACTATGTCAATGTCCGTTGCACATTATTGATGACTACGTTTACCAGAAAATTCTCCATTGAATTTGGTCGGTGGCAACTTGGAATTGAAAGTGAAGGGAATGGCATTAGAATGATTTAAACGTGAATATTCAAGATCTAGTACCAATTGTTTTTTCTTTTTTTAATCATCACGTGGTACTGGTTTTAATTGATACAATTAATGGGTCTTCATAGATTGACACATCCTCGAAAAGAATACGTAAATGTTCATAGTCCACAAACATTTTCAAGGATCTTCACCATATCTACGCAAGTGTTGAAATCCAAAATGACTTTGTAAGAATGAATTGTTTCATCAAAAAGATAGTGACACTTAAGAGATGATCCCAATAGCAGTGTGAGGCTCACGACATTGATAATATCCACAAGTTAATTTGAGCCAATCTGATCATCTCTTCTCAAATTTTTATGTCCACATATGAAATTAGGCATAGCAAAATATTGTAAAAAAAAATCATGAATAAATCATACCAAATGAGTTCAGGTAATGTAGATCAAAATTTTCGTGAATTTCATGGAGAACATAAACTATATTTGTGAATTTGTTTATATTAGAAGGTTGGTTTGACATTCGACTATGGACAATTGACGATATCATTTTTTGGTTTTAATTATTATTATTATTATTATTATTATTCAAGATATAAGCAACTCAATTCATTTTTCTTTTGATACACCATTATTATTATTAAAAAAATTGTTGGCGCCATAATATATGTCGCAAAATGTTTGCCTAAAAAATATAAAGAAAAGTAATTGCCGAATTGGGTTAAATGAAAATTTCGTATAATTTGTTTCTATTTATAACATTGCTCTTATTCAAATTCAAAACATTAATTATTCTCTTTCAAGTTTTTTTCTATAATAATCCTATCTTACCAACTCATCATGGTTATGATGGGAAATACGACAATCATGTAACAATACAGAAAATGTATATGTATATCTTATCTATAGGAGTACATGGTCTTTTTGTGTTAATTTTTCTACTCAACAATGTAGAATCGTAAGGATCTTTTTCTTTCCTTTTGTGCCGCCCAATATTTCCATACATATGAACATCAAATCTTTTCTTCATGATTAAAGAATTATATATCTTGAATTTAATTTCCGTAATAATCACCAACCTTTTGCTGTTTTCTCTGGACTCTATAGAACTAGGGGAACCATCAGTTTCAAATAGATTTAATCTACACAATCATGCATATAATATTTATTTTGAAGTATCCATGCGAAGAAATTTTATGAATATTGCTTAATCATCCAAACTAGAGTTACACGAGTTGACATTTTTTCATAGTTCATTGAAAAAAAACAAGTAAGAAGAAAGAGGTATGATTGGTCATGAGTTATTTTCTCTTAAAAAAAATATGTGCATTATAGAGAAGCTTCCTACGTACCCTATTTCTCAAAACTCTTTCACTATTTTATATTATGCTTCACGAGATGGAAGTACAATATTGATGGGACAAATAAAACCGGTTCGTGACATTTTTTTCGCAATTCATTGAAAAGAACAGAGAGATAAAATAAGGGAAAAGAAAGAGGTATGATTGGTCATGAACTGTTTTCTTATAAAAAAATATAGTGCTCATAATCTCCAAACCAAATTCGTGTCCCTTTAATTGTTTAGTAATGGTGGATAAAAAACTAATATATTCTTGCATTAGTTTAATTTAAAAAATAATAAATTTAATTTTAATTAATTTAAAAAATCAATTTCTTATAAAATATATATATAAAAATAAACATATATTTATTATGTCCAGTCTAAGTCTAGCCAAGTTATAAAACAAACTAAAGTAAAACATAGTTTTATTATTCATTTTACTATTTGAAACACTAATCACATACTCACAAATTACTATTTCTTTCACTATTCATGTCATTTTTTTAACATTTTGGTATTCAAATTTTCTATTTTTTTTTCATTTCAAACTTTAATTGTATTATGATTTGATCCCATTTTGTTTTAGTGTTTTCTCGTTAATTATTTTTATTATTTAAAATTTACTATTTTAATTTTTCATTTTTAAATTTTTTTTCAATTTCAAACTTTAATTTGTTAATTATTTTTATTATTTTAAATTTATTATTTTTATTTTTTATTTTTTAAAATTCTCATTCAATTAATTTAAAATTATATTTACCGATAGTTTCGATTTATTTTTCCACAAATTAAAGTAAAACATAGTTTTACTATTTATTTCACTATTTGAAATACTATTCACACACTCACAAATCACTATTCTTTTCACTATTCACGTCTTTTTTTTAACACTTTGGTACTCAAATTTTCTAAAACTTTTTTTTTCATTTCAAACTTTAATTGTATTATGATTTGATCTCATTTTATTTTAGTGTTTTCTCGTTAATTATTTTTATTATTTAAAATTTACTACTTTAATTTGTCATTTTTTAAATTCTTTTTTTTTTCAATTTTAAACTTTAATTTGTTAATTATTTTTATTATTTAAAATTTACTATTTTTATTTTTTATTTTTTAAAATTCTCATTCAATTCATTCAAAATTATATTTACTCGATAATTTCGATTTATTTTTCTATATATATGGATTTTTTAATAAGGTTTTAGAACGTGATTATTTTTTCTTTTGAAAAATATATTTAGATCATTTTTAAATTATAGTGGCATGACTAATATTTTTTTTTTTTTTGTCTAAAATACATTTTTAGATTAAAAGTGTATTTCAAATAATTTTTTCTTAGGTTTTTTATATTATTTAAAATTTACTACATTAATTTGTCATTTTTTTAAATTCTCTTTTTTTATTTTCAATTTCAAACTTATTAAATCATTAAGATTGAATTTTATCTAAAATAATAATAATAATCTTTGTAGTGGATCTTTTTGCTTCATTAATTTTATATATTACTCATGTATTGAGTATTTAGGATAATTTTTTTTGACGATTTATAAGGATAGCACATTAGAGAAGTCTTACTTGATCCAACCAATGATATTATCTTGATTTATTGTACCTTAAGCAATTAAACTATGTAGGTTCAATTAATAAATTAGTTTCTCGGCAAATTATATTTTAAGAAAAGAGTGATAAGTTTGAAATCAGGCTTTAATTAGTTGAAATTAAGAAGCTACTAGTATATTCCATAGCGCAATTCTATCTCTATTTACTGTTATTAAATAATTTTTACATATATTTTTATTTTACTTGTTTTATTGGATTAAAAAAGAAAAAATCCAATAAAACGTTAACATACAAAAAATGCGGCATAATTATGAATTGAGGAAAACGTGTCAAATATTGTTTTGACTTGTGACAGAATTGCTCTATTTATGTGCACATCACTGGGACGAGAAAATCAACATCTCGCATTCTAAAGCAACCTTCTTATAGCTTTACAGACAACAATAATATGGATAAAGCTTGCAACATCCAAACATCTTTCTTCAATCGCCAATTAAATGGTAGTTTATGTCCTGCCACCAAGCACATAAGAGTAGTTAGAGCTAAACAGAAAAGAATTGCCTGTGGCCAAACAGTTTGTTCACCGGTTCGTACTCCTAAATCTATGAATGCGAGGACGTTGATAGAGAAACAAGTTCCTAAAGAGGTGTCAAAGCCAGCAAAATTTGGTATGTTTGGAGGGAAGTTTGTGCCTGAGATCCTAATCGCTAGTTTGAGCAAGATTGAAGCTGAATTCATTTATGCTTTACAGGATACTGAGTTTCAGGTTTGTTAGCCACATTCTTTTTTTTAATATCTAATTTGCAGCTCAGTGTTGGAGTAAAATCTAAATACTTTCTGAAGCTGATTTAGCTCAGAAAGTAGTGATAATGTGAAATCTGGTCCAAGAATACCTGCTTTGCATGATTACTAATTGATTGCTACAACATGATTAGATCTCAACAAAAAATTCCTACTTACAATGTGGGAATTGATGAAAATGTAGGAGGAGCTTGCAACCGCCTTGAGAGACTACGTAGGGAGGGAGACACCTCTATATTTTGCTCAAGGCTTGACGAACTACTACAAGAACAAGGATGGAGAAGGACCAGAAATTTACCTGAAGAGGGAAGATCTGAACCATTGTGGAGCACACAAGATGAACAACGCAATTGGGCAGGCAATGATTGCCAAACGCATGGGCTTGAAGAGTGTTGTGGCAGCTACTGGGGCTGGACAACATGGTGTTGCAACTGCAGCTGCTTGTGCCAAGCTGTCTTTGTCTTGCACTATCTTCATGGGCTCTGCTGACATGGAAAAACAATCCTCAAACGTACTGTTGATGAAGCTATTTGGAGCTCAGGTCAGATCTCTTCTTTTGTCATAGCTTGGTATGTGGATAAGTATATCTAGCAAAACCTTCATGAAGCATAATGTTGTGTTTGTGTATATTTTGATCTGTACAGGTTAAACCTGTGGAAGGAAATTTCAAAGAAGCAAGCTCAGAAGCAATCCGAGAATGGGTGGGTAACTTAGACACAAGCTACTACTTGACCGGCACCGTCGTGGGGCCTCATCCATGTCCAAGCATGGTTTGTGAATTTCAGTCTGTGATAGGAAAGGAGACAAGGAGGCAAGCAATGGAGATATGGGGTGGCAAGCCAGATGTGTTGATTGCTTGTATAGGGAGTGGGTCTAATGCGTTGGGGTTGTTCCATGAATTCATAGAAGATGAAGATGTGAGGTTAATAGGAGTTGAGGCTGCAGGATTTGGCTTAGATAGCGGGAAACATGCTGCAACTCTGAGTAAAGGAGAAGTTGGGATCTATCATGGAGCCATGACCTATTTGTTGCAAGATGAGGAAGGACAAATAATACGACCACACTCAATTGGTGTGGGGTAAGTCTATCAACGAACCCTTATTGATTCTTGGAAAATTATTACCCCATAGCGGATCGGATTTATGTGAATCAAAACCATTTAATTAATTATTATAGTGAATTCTATAAATGGATTCTTATAATGTGATTGGTTTGATACAGATGTAATAAAACTAGAAACAAACTCCCTAATACACATATTGACTGAAAAAAAATCTTATGATATATTGCTGCTTTCTTTGCAGGCTGGAATACCCTGGGGTTGGCCCAGTACTGAGCTTTCTTAAGGACACAGGACGTGCTGAGTTCTATTCTGCCACAGATAAAGAAGCTGTAGAAGGTATGTACAAGATCAATTATATGAATAACTATGTGAAGCTATTTAATTTTGCGCAAAATTTAGCTCCCTGTTTATTGTTTGCAGGATACCTAAGGCTATGCAGATTAGAAGGCATAATTCCAGCATTGGAGGCATCTCATGCACTGGCATACCTAGAGAAACTTTGTCCTACTTTACCGAATGGCACCAAAGTCATAGTAAATTGTAGTGGTCGTGGAGATAAAGATGCAGCAACGGTCTGTAACTACAAATGGGGCACTGGATCTAATTAAGTTTCTAGATAACTAAGTACAACTGATTAAGTTTAAATTAAATTAAATGAGCACTCAAATCAGGTAGCTAGGAGAATGAAAATACTTTACGAAGTTAATTTACTGTACTAGCTACTGAATGTACCAGCAATTCATGACATAATGGGGATAGAGAGATCGACGCCTAAGTTGGCCTACTATGCCTGATTATGGAATAAAAAATGAAAAAATAGGAATTTATGTTTGAGCTTATTGATTTTAGAATGTATGGATATATTTCAAAAAAAAAAAAAAGAAGAAGAAGAAGAAGACATTTTATCACTTTTGGGTTTCTATTTTTTCTTGGAGAAGTTTTAATTTTCAATACGAATTAAAAGCTCGACGTACAAACTGATTCCAGAATATTACTTAAATGTCTAACAAAAAGAAATTGAAGTTTAATTTATAATTCCTAGTGGCAAATGAGTTTAATTCTAATTTAAATTTTAAAAGTAAATATATCTATTTGTCTTTATATAATATTTAAAGTCTTTTATATGCTTTTAAAATTTTAATTGCATCACATTTGTCTATGAATATATTTGAAATGTTCAATTTGTCTTGTCGATTAATTTTTTCGGCTAAATAATTTTTTTTTTCAAAATGACTCACTAAAAAGGCTAAAAAAAAAAATTAAAGTCACGCGACCTATATGTTCATTTTTAAAGTCTTTAGAATTTTTTTTTTTTTTTTGTATTTTAGTAAAAGGCATTTTGGTAAAAAGAAATTTATGGTCAGAAAATTTATGATCGAAAACATAGATTGAATATTTTAAAAAAATTCAAAAATAAATAAAATGTAATTGAAAATCTAAAAATAGATGAAAGTTTTAAGTATTATATAAAACGGATAAATATTTTTGCCCAAATTTTAAATTACAACTTGGCATAGTCACATGAAATTTTAGATAACATAAATTTGACCGACAATTTATAATGAAATCTAACATTCATTTTGTACTATGTTCCCATGTGAAATATAATTGCGAAGAGCAATGATAGATTCTTAGTTTTTGACAGAAGGAGATATTTGCGCCTTAAAAATATGGAGATTGTTTTGTTTAATAAAAGGCACTTCGGTAAGAAAAAAATTATGATTAAACAATTTAATTAAAATGATATATTAAATATTTAAAAAAAATTAGAAACAGATGAGATGCACTTAATAATTTAAAAACATATGAGAAATTTTATGTATGATATTAAAATAGATAAATATTTTTTCCCAAACTTTAAATCACAACTTGACCGTAGTCACATAAAATTTCAGAAAACATAAATTTTAGTACCGATACTTTATAATGACATGTAACATTCATTTTGTACTATGTTCTCATATGAAACATAATCGCAAATGCCAATGGTAGATTCTTAGATTTTGACATAAGGATATATTTGCACCTTGAAAACATGAAGATTTTTTTTTTTTTTTTTTTAGCATTTTAGTAAAATCATTCCGGTCAAAAAAAATTATGATCGAAAAATTTGATTAAAATGACAAACTAAATATTTAAAAAAAATTAAAAACAAATAAGATACAATTATAAATTAAAAAAAAAAAGTCTTTAAATATTATATAAAAATAAATAAATATTTTTGCTCAAACTTTAAATCACAACTTAGCACTTGTCACAAGTGAAATTTCAGATAACATAAATTTGACTGACAATTTAGAATGACATGTAACATTCATTTTGTACTATGTTCCCGCGTAAAACGTAATTGCGAATTGCAAGATTTATTTTGTACTATGTTCCATGTGAAACATAATTGCAAAGTGTACTGATGGGCTCTTAGATTACGACAGAGGAGATACTTACACCTCTATGAAGATTTTTTTTTAGTAAAAGACATTTGGGTAAAATATATATATATATATATATATATATATATATATATATATATATATATATATATATATTTTTATCGAAATGATAAATTAATATTTTAAAAAAATTAAAAATAAATAAGATATAATTAAAAATTTAAAAACCGATGAAATACTATAAGTATTATATAAAAACAAATAAGTATTTTTTTTTCAAACTTTAAATCACATAAAATTTCAGATGACATAAATTTGACCAATAATTTATAATGACATATAACATTCATTTTGTGCTATGTTCTCATATGAAACATAATTGCAAATGGCAAGGATAGATTCTTAGATTTTGACTGGAGTATATATTTGCACCTTAAAAACATGAAATTTTTTTTTTATGCATTTTAGTAAAATTCATTTCAGTCAAAAAAAAATTTATGGTCAGAAAATTTAATCGAAGAGCAAATTGAATATTAAAAAAAATAAAAACAAATAAGATATAATTAAAAATCTAAAAACAAATAAAAATCTTTAAATATTATATAAAAATAAATAAATATTTTTGCCCAAACTCTAAGTCACGTGAAATTTCAGAAAACATAAATTTTAGCCGCAATTTATAATGACAAGTAACATTCATTCTGTACTATCTTCCCGTGTGAAACATAATTACTTGCTAAGTGCAGGATTCATTTTGTACTACGTTCCCATGTGAAACATAATTGCGAAGTGCAATGATAAGTTCTTAGATTTTGACACAAGGAGATAATTGCACCTTCATGAAGGTTGTTTTTTTTATATAGTAAAAGGTATTTCAATCAAAATAAAATTTATGATTAGAAAATTTTATCGAAATAATAAATTAAATATTTTAAAAAAATTAAAAATAAATAAGATGTAATTAAAAATTTAAAAACAGATGAAATACTATAATTATTATATAAAAACAGACAAATATTTTTTCCCAAACTTTAGATCACTACTTGGCAATAGTCACATAAAATTTCAGATAACATAAATTTGGCGGATAATTTATAATGACATGTAACATTTAGTTTGTGCTATGTTTCCATGTGAAACATAATTTCAAATTGCAATGATAGATTCTTAAATTTTGACTGGAGGCGATATTTGCACCTTAAAAATATGGAGTTTTAATTTTTATTTTTTTTAATATAAGGTATTTTGATAAAAAAAATTATGATCGGAAAATTTTATCAAAGGGATAGATTGAATATTTAAAAAAAAATCAGAAACAAACGAGATACAATTGAAAATAAAAATAGATGAGATATTTTAAGTATTATATAAAAAAAGATAAATATTTTTTCCCAAACTTTAAATCACAAGTTGGCGGTATAGTCACATAAAATTTCAGATAACATATATTTGATCCACAATTTGTAATGACACGTAACATTCATTTTGTACTGTGTTCCCATGTGAAACATAATTGCAAATTGCAACGATAGGTTCATAGATTTTGACAAGAGGAGATATTTGCACCTCAAAATATGTAGTAAATTATAAATTATTCATTCCAGTTTTATGAAATAAAATAATAAATTGTTTTTTTTAAAAAAAATAATATTTATTTATTTTAAATTTTTCTTTTTGTATTTTTTCTAATTTTTTTTAAATATTAAAATTGAAAAATTAAATAGATTTTATAAAAAGAATGATGAGAAAATAATATATTTTTAAAATAAAACAATATTAAATTAAAAGTGATTAATAAAACTAAATAATTAATTAAAAAATCAGTTAATTCGTTTTTCAAAAATAAAAAAATAATTTATAATTTACTCTAAAAAAAAGTCTAACAATCCCACAATCTCAACTTCTTTTGTTTTTTTTATAGAAAATGAAATGGTGAGAGTGACGTTAGCTTTTGTTGAAATGCAAATCGCACCCCTCGTTAAAGATAATACTCGTACATGCATGGTTACTCGCCATGGGAAGTTGAACTGTTTTAGGATATTGGATTTCCCATAATAACATGCTTGGTCCAGCCAATCACATTGTCTGGATTTATTGATTGCATATTAGAGAAATTATTACATTTTACTTGCCTGAACCTTCTTCCAATGCACGGTAATATCATTTCTAGTCCTAAATCTCTTATTTCCTCTCTTAATCCATCTAGAGATTTCCATGTTTTCAATTCTTTTCTAATATAGAATTACTTGATTTTAAGAAATTGATCATAAAATTTAGTGTACATTAAATATAAACTGATCAACTATACTTGTTCTTAGCAAATTCATCTTTATATATTAATTGTCTAATTTCATTATAGAAGAAATATAAAATCAAAAAATGAAATATTTTTCTGTTATTTTTTTGAGTCTACATTCTAAGAAATTCACACCATACATCATAAAACAAAATATGGAGTCTTGATCATCGCAAGTCACCTTATTTTATATTAAAAAATTATTTCAATCTAAAATTTTATTTTATATTAAAATATCATTTCAATTCAAAATCTTAAATTATTAGGTAAAATTTTAAAAATAATTTATATTACTTTCAAGAACAACTCATCAAATAAAAGTTTTTTTAATATTGAAACTTGTGTAGATATTTTATTATTTTATAATTAATTATTTAATTAAAAGAAAAAATAAGATAATAAAATTTGAATTCGTAACTTTAAAAGATTTTGATATTATATTAAAAAACTCATTTCAATCCAAAAATTTAAATTATTAAATAAAATTTTCAAAATAATTTTATGTTACTGTTTAACATTCTATTACCAGACAAGCTGAGGAAAGCTCACCAGAAACTAGAGCCACGTTTCATTTCCTTCTCTTCTCGAATTGAAGGGACTTCTCATGTTTAGATTTTTTATTATTGCAAGGCTCCTTTCACACGAAGAATCGGGGACCACTCATATAGATCTCATTACCTATTATTACCTAAAAAACTAAAAAAACCGAGGGTGGGACTGTTCATTATGTAGCAGTCCCACCCCTAATTCTTTTCGTGGCTGCAGCAGTCCTTCCTTTCTTTCTTTTTTTTTTTTTTTTTTTTAATTTACAACGTCTGGTTTTTTTTTTCTTTTCTTTTTTTCCCAGTTTTGGGTTGGGCTGCTGGACTTCACTAGCATTTTTTACTGTTCATTTACAGTTGCAGTCCCACCCTTAATTCTT